AAAAAATATTATATTATTATTTATTATCTGTATTTGCAGGCTAGAGCTTAACCTTATAGGCCGCAGTTATCCCATAGAATAATGCCTTGGCGCTGGTGACGTTGCCCTCACGAATAGGGCGGACACGAATAACGCGCCAGCCTGCCTCGTGAGGGGAAATACCACCGACGGTCGCGTGAAGCCAATCGCCTATTGCACCAAGAGCATAGTGGTTAAAACTCGTCATTTGACCGGGATTTATTCGCCCATCCGGGAGCATACTATCCCAACGTTCCCAAACTGTTGTTGCGTCGTGGGATACCACGGCGTATAACCAACGAGGACATGTCGTCTCTAGCAACATACGGTATGCTAGCTGTGAGCGGCCGATCTGAGATAGTGCGTGGGAGATGACCGGGGTTCCTGCGAAACCTGTGCTGATATGGAAGCGAGCGGTTCGGACCAGACGGTCGAGGGCTTTTCCGGCTGTTTTGCGTTGTTCCTCGTTTTCGGGATAAAGACCGAATCTGATGGCGAGACCAAGACCGGTTTGGGATGTTGACATAAGGTTACCTTCTGGTGTGATGTATCTTCGCTGGAACAGGGTCTTCAGTTGTTCACCATCTAGGGCATACTTGGTGGCTAGTTCCGTCTTTCCAAGGACCAAGCATAGCTTAGAGAACACCAGTGTAGTATGTACAAGATAGGCATTCGCCACGAGAATATTGTCAGTTCGTCCATTTCCAGGATCTTCAGGCGGTGCGCTAGGGTCTAGCCAATCCGCGAGCTGCCACTTATCAGGGTTCCAGAGTCTATCCTGGGCCCTATCAACCCCCATTTCAAGCCAAGCATACATACTATCAAATTGTCTTTCCAGCATGCCTTTGTCACGACTGTACTGGAACAGAGCGTCTGGGGCTAAAACTGTGACATCATCCCATATTGCTTGAGCCATGTGCGGCCAGTTTGAACTGATGGCGTTGGGACATACGAGAGGAGGTATACCGCCTTTGCCTTCCTCCAGCTGTTCGGCTGAGACGTCTTGTAGCCAGTTGCTGAGGATACCCAGTGTGTCGTAGAGGTATGTCGCTGTTGGGCAAAAGACTTGCAGGTCGCCTGTCCATCCGAGACGTTCATCTCGCTGAGGGCAGTCTGTTGGCAGAGAAAGAAAGTTGCCGCGCATTGACCAGACGATATTCTTGTGTAATTGATTAACATAAGGGTTAGAACACTCGAAGAAACCTCATCGTTCCATGTCGGTGTGAAGCACAATCGCTTGGACGTTATCAGGCGACGGACCAGCACCCGGCCATCCTTCAACTTCGACATATCGGAAGCCATGTAATGTGAACTTGGGTGACCAATCCAACAGAGTCTCACCTGAACCAATGATAGTATCGCAACATTTCGCGTCACGAAGTGGTCGTGTTCCCAACTCTCCATTTTCCATAACTTCAGCATGACGAAAGGTGATGCCTTTGTCCTTCTCTGTAGGAAGGCTCGGTATGAAGAGCTTTCCCACGAGGTTCTGACCAAAGTCCAAGATTATTTTGCCGCTCTGAGTTCTGAAGACACGTTTGCAGGATATGGTCTCAGTGACACGGACAGGAGGAATGTCGGGTTCCACAAGTTGGGCTGATGGTCTCAGAAGAATCCTCGTACCCAAAGGGTTCGGAAATACATGGCTCATATCGTGAACCTCTCCATCGTAGATTTGACTTGCTATAATGGGAGTGGTGGTGCATGACCAAGTATCATCTGAGACAAGATCCCAACATACTTTGCCAGCTGTATCTTGGACCTCGAGCTGAGCAAGTATCCCTAGCTCCTCGCCATATCGAAACCGCTTGCCACCATTGAAGCCGAGCCTTCCTGCATACCAGCCTTCGGCAACCTCAACACTGATGATGTTCTTCTGGCCAGGGAGTATCAAGGAGGTAACATCGTAGATACGATGAATCAGACGATGGTTGTAACTTGTCCAACCTGGGGCCAGGACCTCATCACCCACACGTTGGCTATTGATAGTTGCCTCAAAGACACCAAGACCTGTTATGTAAAATCGAGCACGAGAGAAGTCTGTTGCATCTTGCGGTAAAGTGAACTCCTTGTAGAATCGGATCGGTCGTAATGGTCCATAAGGTCCAATTCGTTTAGCCGAGGCAATGAAGCTCGCTTTGAAGTCGCTGCTGTCAAGAAGATCAGTCTCAACGGTCGCAGGAGTCGACCAAGGGCTAGGTTCAAGCATAGGAGAGTCTTGATCGAGGCTTGTACCGTATACCCTCACGCGAACTGACGCGGATTCGCGGGATGAAAGTGGCCTCGCTGGCCATGGCACCAAAACTGATTCTTCACTTTCGATGGCGAAGAGGTGTGCATTAGATGTGCCAGAGAAGGTGACCTCAACTTGGTAAGAAGTTTGTGTCCATGATGTAGCTGTCGAGGACGATGTTTCAAAAGTCCATGAAAGTCGAGGCCTGGACGTGTCAACACCAAGACCGCTGTGGTGATGCTCAAATTTGATCCTGGCAACTTTGGTACTGGACATGGTGTCTGCCAAGGGTTCTTGAGAGGATGTTGAGTAAGATTACCGCAATTATTCGTCTGTTAAATATGACCCATCTCAGTTGTATCATTCCCTCGGAAGTCGGGTCAGCTTGAAGCGAGTTGTAGTCACCCGCAAATCATTTTTGACCAACTTGATAGGAAAGGCATTTCAATCTGGAATTTCGTGAAGTAAGATTCAAGTCAGGCGGGTGTAGTTTACCAGAGCAGGTTGACTGTGACCCTCGCTGTCTCTGACGATCTTACGGCTTTGAAAGCATCCGATTGGCCACCACGCTGAGAGAGCCAATTATGTCTCTTCAAAGCCGGTTAGAATCAAAATCCTTGGCCTCAAAAGTTCAAAGTTATTCCCCATACAAAGAAGTCTCGTTTCTTGGCATATGAGACGGACGGATCCATTCCGCAGTGGCAACGCATGGAGGCTTTGACCCAGTTTAAGGTTCTTCAGTATGATTGTCGTCTGAGCCTATCAGCAGGCAAAGGATCGCTTGAACGGACTGGTGTACAAGTCATTCGGTAGAAGGATGGCCGAGAGTTCGGCGTCTCAGGCTGTTCTTGGTACAGACTAATGCTACCTATGGTACCCAGGGAGTGGGTTACCTTGGTGTAGTAGCGTTGCAGAATCTGGGGCCCCGGATGCGGAGAAGATGAAGAGATCTTGATCACTACAAATACACGGCCAACGCTCTCCCGATATCCCAAGTCCAAATGCAATTCCACAACTCGATTGAACAACGTGGGCTTCCTCGCAACTACCGTAGCTCTTGTAGCTGCCCAGGGCGGCTTTGTATACGGTCTTGATTCAGGTATGATCTCAACACCAATCTCATCTGCTCGTGTACAAACAACTGTCTATTATAGGCATCATTGCGACGACCTTCGGTCATGATAGCTTTAAAGTCGCCATTTACGGACCTTCCATGGTCAACACCACGTATCAAGGAGCTATTGTCTCTGTATACAACGCGGGGCAGGCCATTGGTGGCTTGACCACTGGATATGTCGCTGATAAACTCAGTCGAAAATACACGATCCTGATCGCGTCTATCCTGAGTGGGTAGTACGAAAGCCCCTCCGGGCGTTCACATCACTAATGAAGAACCATAGCAATTATTGGGGCGGTGCTCCAGTGCGCTGCTGTCAACATCGGCATGATGATTACGGGTCGTCTCGTAGCCGGTATCGGCTGTGGCCAGATCCTCTCAGTCGTTCCCATCTACCTCGCCGAAGTTTCAAAGCCCGGCCAGCGCGGCTTCCTAGTCGGTCTCCAAGGAATGATGATTGCGATTGGCTTCGGCGTTGCTAACTGGATCGGATACGCTGGCGCCTTTGCTAAAGGAGACGGACAGTGGAGGATCCCTCTTGCTATGCAGCTACCTATCCCAGTTTTGCTTGTCGTCATGATATTTTTCGTCCCCTTCTCCCCACGTCGGTTGGTTCTCAAAGATCGGTATGATGAGGCTTGGCAGGTCCTTGCTCGCCTTCATGATAATGGAGATGATCACACGTTCGTTTAGCAGGGGCTCTTGCAGATCAGGACGCAGATCCAGCTTGAAAGGGATCAAGGTAACCTGAACTGGTTCACAGCCTTTGGACTAATGTTTTCACGCAAGTACGTTCGCCGGACTTTAACGGCGTCGTTCATCGTGACTATAAGCCAGCTCTCGGGATCATCCGTCATCCAGGTATGTCCCTCTTCCCGGAAAACCCTAGCTGCAAATTTAATATCATGTTACAGAATTTCCAAAGCGTCTTCTACCAAACAGTCGGCTTCACCGGACGTACTTCTCTCCTGATCAGCGGTGTTTATGGCATGATGGGAATCATAGGTCAAGTCGTCTACCTCGTCTTTGTCGCCGATAAAATGCCCCGGACTCGCACCCTCTGGTGTGGATCTATTGTGCTTTGTGTGATGATTTCTATCTGCAAGGCTCTCAGCGCCGAATTTGGATCTTCAAACAACGAGAACCAGGCTGGTGCAAGAGGTGCCATTGCATCTATCTTCCTCTACTCTATGAGCTATGCTATCTTCTTCAATGCCATGATCTGGGTAGTTCCTTCAGAGCTCTTCCCTTTCTCCTTGAGGACTAAGGGTATAGCACTGGCTGTGGCGACCAAAGCGATAGTGGCTATCGTTTTATCTCAGATAACGCCATTGGCCATTGCTAACGTCGGTTGGCGGTACGTCCATCCCGTATCAGTACGTTACTTCATCGAGTAGCTAATCATTTACAGATACTATTCACTTTTCATTTCATCTAATGCCGCTGCCGCAGTGTTCTACTTCTTCATCCTACCCGAAACTGGGAGTAGTGTCGACTAGCTTTTTTGCGACACTTACTGACCATAAATAGTCTGGTAAAAGTCTCGAAGAGATCGCAACTTTGTTCGGAGATGACGTTATTATGTCATCTTCCCAAGCCGAAGCGAAGGTTAATTATACAGCCGATGCCTATCAGTTGGAGCATAGGGTCTCCACCAGACAAGATGAGTAAGGCTTTTCTCGAACGAGATCGACATACAAGCAAAAGAAATAGATATCCGGGTCAGTGTTCTGCAGAAGATGGAAGAAGGTATTGAGGGTTGACATACGTGAAATACTACCTTGAGGGATCTATCATGTCCCTTTTAATCATTCATCACTTCAACAAGTGACTATATACTGCCAATGGTTCTGGGCGTTGCACCATGACCATATGTTTCAAGATGAGCTGGGCCTGCAATTTGGAATTTAGGTCAGATAACAGGCGGCCAATCTTTATTTCTGAGCAAGGCATTGTGCAGGTGGACCACTGGATCTATGCCGAGAGGTCGACAGGCCTTATGAGAGACTTTTCTGTGCAGGGGAATGCAACTTGTATTGGTTAAATCAATAAGTGATATACGAAGAGTGAAAAGCACGGATGTAACCTTTGATGGCTGTCTGATACTGTGGTTGCTCTGTAGCAAGATATTGTAAACGGTAAAAAATATCCCTACAAACTTTTTAATTCTGTAGTAATAGAGCCCTGTAATATTTAGGCAACATAGGTATAACGTAAGAAAGCATACTTTAAGTAACTCTTGGTAGGTATTGACTGAAGTAGAATACTAGAGCCCCCTTATAGCTAAGCTGGGGTTGTACGGCCAATCCTTCTATGCCTGTAGAACTTCTTACAAGCTAAAGTACAACTGACTAGATTTTACAATTATTATCCGCGGCTATAGTGCCAGTAAAAATATGCTGAGGCCGCCATATTGCGGGTGATTGAGCTATATCATGTTTAGCTTTCAATCTAACGTTGCTGTGGTAATATAGAGACTCACCCATACTTTCTCGCCAATGAGCCATAACTCCAGGGGAACGTGACAAACAAGAAAGTGACAGAATAGTATCAGTTTCAATGCCCCTGATTATAGAGTCAGTACGGATAGGATGAAGAAGCAGGGGGTTTACAAACAAGGCAGTGTACAAGAAGCAGCCGTAAAGATCTGCATTGGCCTTGAGGTTTCGCGAGATGAAGTACGAGTCCTCCTCAGCAACACGGTCAATCTCCATAGCCACTCTGAGAAACGAGTTCTTGTAGACATCCTCCTTGTACTCTTCGATAAGCTGGCGGACAAGCTGCCCTCGAGGGTCCTTGACCTTGTAAATGCGATGCCCGTACCCAAACAGACGGTACTTCTTGGCTTTGACGTCAGAAATAAGCTGGGGCACGTTTTCGACGCATTGCACCCTTTCGAACTCCTTGTAGGCCATCTCAACAGCGCCTCCATGAAGAGGCCCGTATGCTGAGGCCACGGCGGCAACGGTACACGATAGAGGATCCTGCAACGTGGAAGCTGCGGCGAGGAAGACAGCAGTTGAATTGGTCATTCCATGATCGGCGTTAAGAACCCAGAGGCGCTCGAGACAATGTTCAATCTTGCGGTTTGGAGTGCTGCTACTGCCTTCTTCCGTAAGACCCATCATGAGCAGAATGTTTCCGGTGTATGACTCATCCGGGTTAGCTTGGGTGAAAGGGCGACCTCTGCGATAGCAGTATACCATAGCGACAGTGGTGGCTAGTGCAGCCAGTGTCCTAATAATGGCATCGTCAACTTCTTCCATGTTTCCCAGATATGCAGGCTCGCTCGATCTATGCACCGCTTGAGACCCCTTGTCATGAGCTGCAAACGCAGCAATGCCAGCCAAAAGCATGGGATGGGTCAGTCCATCTGGACTATATGTTGTTCCATGTTAGCTCAAGGGATGAATTTATAGTTGTTCAGTTGACTTACGGAAAGGCTTTGATTGCATTTTCTACTGATTGTGGTGGTTTCATGTGGGAAGCAAGTTTGCGACGAAGATTCATCTTCTGTTCTTGTGTAGGAAGACTTCCCCAGATAATAAGATGAACCACCTCCTCATAGTTGTTGTTGTGGAAGAGCTCATCAATAGTCTTGTCTCGATACTGCATATGGCCAGCTTTACCATCACTGGACCAAAGTTAGCATACAGATCCTGGATGCCTTTCTTTCTTTCTTTTTCTTTCTTTTTGGAGGTTTCCTTACATGTAGGTGATAGATGTCTCGGTAACAGCAGTATTCCATAGCCCCTTGTCGAGAACGCGGAGGCTGTTGTCATAGTGATCGGCTACCTCAGCACCAAAGCCTGCCGTTGTGATTTGAATAAAGTCCAGAGCTTTGACAGCATTGTTCCTAATTGGAATGTTATAGCTTCTGCCAGTCCGACTGTCGGTGACGCTGAGTATACCAGATGAAATCGAGTTGTCGGCGTGGCCCATTGCTTTCTGATAGACCCATGCGCCTGATAAAACCAATGAACGAATGATCTGGCGGCATCTTTTGATAACGGGCGAGAATGAATTGTCCATATCGAGTAGCTTTTGCCTTAGCCACGAGTTCAATCTTCCTGTTTTGCAGTACAAGTGTTAGACCAGTTATAGCAAAACAGAAAAACTGCTAGGCAGGTAGACCCTTGTTTCTGGAAGCCCAAAATTTGATACAGTACAATAGAAAAGCCTCGAGTCAAATATGCTTCAGATTTCAAAGGCATCGAGATTCTGAATTTCTTAGCTTACATTAATATTAGACCATCTTCTTATCACACCTGACTTACCAACAACAGGTATTCCCCGCATTCTAGTCAAGACGTGCCATCAGTAGAAAGCTTTTGCCGTGTTGGTCGTAAGTACTAGTCGCAGAGGGGGAGCTTTAGTAAGTGGTTCCCGATCAGGTCAAACTTAGTCAGATTTGAACAAGGATATCAAACGTTATGCATGCTGGTACGCGGTAGGTTAGATCAAGTACGCAGTCAGATCAGAGATCATGTCAGCATTAGATAATGTAAGTTCTAAAGTCGGGTAACACGGCGACGTTTTGCTAGCTTTGCGGAAACTCGGCACTACTACATGATCAGCGGTAATTCTCGCCGACTAGTGAAATGGAACACTTTGTTAGTAGTAAGGAATAGCTGAGGAGTCTTTACGTGCGGTAATCACTACCTGAATCTAATAGAATCAGAACGGGATAATAAAGTTGACCTCCAAGTGGACCGCATAGCCGTCAAGATTTGTCTGTTCCACTCAGAATCTCTGCTCGCAAAATGACTACAGGCACGACATACCAGTATTTACAAAACACAAATTTAGGCACTATTGCTGAAGTTCAGGTAATTATCTCCTTCAATTGGGGTAGGAAGTAGAAATAATTATTTATACAACTATAGACACCGCCGAGACACGAAAGTGAACCTGATGCGTCCTTACTCGTCGGAGACCAGAAGGCGCCTGTCTGGCAAAAGATCAACAAATGGCTGCCACGACGAGACGCCCATCAAGACTTTTGGTGGGACGTCACGGGGAGACACCTTGTAACAATGCTGCACGAGGCCGGCTACCCATTGTCCCGCCAGTACGAATGTCTTTTATTCCACTACTACATCATTGTTCCTCGCATGGGTCCGAGGCCTAGCTCGTCTGGTCAGCCTGTCTTCAAGAGCTTCATGACGGACGACTTTTCACCCATCGAGTATAGTTGGAAATGGGGCGATACCAATGCTGATGCGCCTAGCATCCGGTTGAGTGTTGAGCATATTGGACCAAACGCGGGTACGGCCCTGGACCTCTACAATCGGGCATCAACCATCGAGGTCATGGATCATCTACATGCCGCAGACCCTTCTATTGACCCTGTGTGGTTCAAAACGTTTCTACATGACTTTGACCCTCATAACAACGAGGCTGGCCACGGAAACTGGGGAAGTTCGCTTTTCACTGCATATGAGCTCGGCGCGGACAAAATCGCCGCCAAGGCCTACTTCATACCCAGGAATATCGAAGTTTGCCAGGATTTCTTCACCCATGGTTTTGAAAGAGCCATGAGAAATGTCTATGGCAACGATTCAAACTATCTTTCTGTCTTCAAAATCCTCTCCAACTTCCTTACCACCGACCCCAACGGCCAAGCGCTGCGAATGCTGATCCTGGGCATTGACTGTATGGCCCCAGAGAAGTCACGGATCAAGGTCTACATGCGAACTCCCGGTACCTCGCTCAGTCAAATCATTTCCATCTTATCGCTAGGTGGAAGGAGGCCTCTTTCTCAAGACTCTATCGATGAGATCAAGGAGCTGTGGTGTGCTACACTGGACCTCGATCAAGACATATCGGACGACGACGATTTACCAAGGATAGACCATGAAACGTCTGGTATGCTGTTTTACTTTGAAATAAAGCCTTCGTCGCATTTGCCAGATGTGAAAGGATATATCCCTGTACGGCATTACGGGAGGAATGACCTAGCTATTGCACACGGCTTGATTGGATTCCTTGAGAAACGCGATCGGGCTAAATACAAGGATCGGTATTTGGAAATGCTCAAAAGCTTTGCTGAGCAAGCCGATTTGTCATCCTCGCGAGGCTTGCATACCTACATTTCTTTTGGGATTGGCAAAGACGGTCATCTGCAGTTGACATCTTACTTTAGCCCTCAGGTGTATCACAGACTAGCTAAAGCAAAAGTAATGTAGCTAATCAATTTATTACAACAGCCTGAGACTTATCTAAAAAGCATTTCGATTTGTGTAATTTTGAGGTAAATACAGGGTAAATCTCTAATATGAACATTGATGTTTTCGTCGCATCATCCTGCAAGAATAAGCTCAGCGGAAACTGTGTCAAACCACTTCAAGTGGTTATGGCGAGGACAGACCAAGAAAGTCCGCAGCGATGGTAGTAAAGGACAATTAATAATAGGTAAATATCAACATCTAGTCTTGCCAATTACTCTAGCACTACTCTAACTGGGTCGTCGATTCACCTGCACGGGTTTGCTCCATCTCCTTTTTACGTGCAGTCTCAGCTCGCCAGCCCGGCCCATGCCTCATAACATGCCACAGAAGTGGCAGAGATACGATATTGAGGAGCGCGAAGACAGTCAAAGTCCAACCAGTTCCAATAGCGTTGATCAGCGGGACCACGGCAGCAGTCGCGCCAGCTCCCAGCAAGCAACGTAAGAGGTTATTCGAAGCTGTAACAGTGCCCGCCTTTCCCGGGTACAGGTCCAGCATAAGACATGTAGCACAATTCAGAGAAGCCGAGAGACAAAATGCAATGACAAACAGCAAAATCAGCGGCCCAGCTAGATTGGTCTTGTAGTGCAGCGTCCAACCAAAGCCGACCATGCACGCGCTGCCTAGGAGGATCGTCGGCAGCGCGACCTCGAGCCTAGCGCGCTCGATGGGGAAGTTGGTGAGATCTGTCTGCTTGTTCTTGTCGGTAGTGATGCCGAGACGAGTTGCGTGACGGCGGAAGTTGGAGTCGAGCATGCGCCCTCGGTTGAAGGCGGCGACGAGGCTGCCGACTCCAAACGGAATAAAGCATAACGCGATTTGAAGCTCGTTAAAGCCGTAGATTGCGTGGAATTGAGATGGGATAAGAGTGAGCGTCGCATAGAAAGAGCAGCAGAGTAACGAGCCGTAGAGTAGCGTGAAGCCACACTCTTTTTCCAATAGCAGAGTGATTGTGCTGAAGGGGTTTGGAATCCAACTATAAGCACCCCGCGGCCCACCGAACCCATCGCGTTCATTATGTGGTACGTCATTACCCTCTTTCATCAATCTTCGTTCCATGTGTACGTTTGTATAGCATCGATTCCATTTTTGTGGTGGGATAGACCCATCGCCCACAATTTCGCGGCACGTTTCGGGGAACAAGATGGCCATGGGAACTGCGACAGCGCCAGTCAACACGAATAGAAACCAGAAAACGGAATGCCATCCGCGATATTGAGCGAGCAGACCGCCAGCTATAGGACCCTGATGAAGAACCAGTTAGCTCTCAGTATCGATGCACGCCCGTGGAGATGAGCGATCACCTACAAGCGTCGGCCCCAGCATTGGAATAGCTGCAGCATATACTATATAGCTCCCACGCTGAGCAGATGTCGTGATATCTGTCGCCACGGCATTGGACAAAGCGGTAGTCCCACTGCTGCCAGCGCTCTGGAAGCATCGTAGCACCAACAGCGCCGCATAGTTATTCTGCAGAGCCAGTCCGAGGTTGGCCGCCATGTAGAGTACGAAGCAAGCCATGTATAAAGGTCTTCGACCCACGGTGTCGGATAGCTGGGCCGTGAATGTCGGTGCGATAGCTTGGAGGACTAAGTATGTTGTGATAGATAAATTGACCTGGCTATTTGTGACGTTCAAGTCCTTTGCGATGGTGCCGAGAGCCGGAAGGTATATTTGACTGGAGAGAGGAGAGAGTAGCGATGCGAAAGAGGCTGTCAGGATAATCAGCTTTCTCTGTTTAGGAGACCATATCGACCATGGCGCGTCGCCACTTTGTACAGCAGCGCTTGAAGGTTCTCTTGTAAGGATTGGCTCGCTATTAGGTTCCGTTCCCAGGATTTTGTCTATACTAGGGCTTTCGTTTTCTGCAAATCGTGAGGTCGCTGTTTTTTCACCAGGGTTCGGCATCTTCAATAGCAGTGGATTGGTGAAGCGAGTAGAAGAACGAGAAGTGATTTCTGGACAATTGAGCTCTGCAACGCAAAAGGAGAGGAAATCATCACCAACACCACGGCCGCGAAGATACAACGAAATTCGTTGGCTCCTAATTACGAGGTACTGACTTTCTGATGCCTGAGGCAGTAGCTTTCGTGTTGGTTGGCATGCGTGTTCGACCGTGCGCCCGAGGAGGACAAAGCGGCCACCTTTAGTCAAGCCTGACCTTACAGTGTGTGATAGATAGCTGCACGGGGGTGTGAGTCGGGTATTCACTGCCGATTACTCTGCCACTGCCAGACTTTGTTGGATGCCCGTTTATCCGTGTCCGTGTCCGTGTCTGTGTTCAATGCAACCGGGCCAATCGATCAGTGTTGGACATTTTGTCAGGCCTGGGTCGTACAATTCAGCTGATAGTTATATCCTGTGAGAGACAAAACGGGGTCCAAAGCTTCGCTAAGCTCAGTCTTTGATACCTTTTTTGGTCTTGAATTGAAAACGGACAACTCTGACTTGGCGAAGATGGCGAAAGCAATGCGTTTAATTGACGAACATCCTGAACCACCAAAAGATGGTACCAACATCGAGGTCCTTGTCCTGGGCATGCCACGCACCGGAACGCTCTGTAGGTCACTCCCTACCAAAATCTCCAAAACTGACTAACCCAGTGGTACCAAATCAGCGATACTCGCAGCTTTCCAAGTTCTAGGGTACAAGCCGTTCCACGCTAGCATGATGGAGCAGTATCCCCAGCTACTCCCACTGTACATGGAGGCGATGCAGGCCAAGTTCGAACATACGGTAAGACCTTACGGCCGAGAGGAATTCGACAAATTGTTCTTGGGCAAATGGGACGTCTCGTGTAACATGCCTGGGTCGTTGATGGCAGACGAGCTCATCGAAGCTTACCCCAATGCCAAGATCATCCTCACCACGCGCGACGTCGACAAATGGCAGCACTCTATGAAAGAATCTGTCGATGTGGCTGCTAAATGGAAGACGTTTGATTACCTGGCATCTTGGGATCCGGTTAGTTCCCGCCAGATTTGGAACATGCTCAAAGCTCGCTGACACTAAGACACTTCAACAGGATCGCATTGGCCTTTGGTGGAAATACCACAAGTACCAACATTCGCTGCGGCCCATTTTGGCCCCCAATGGGGAGAGGCAGGCATATCTTGACCACTACAAGCACATCAACAAAATAGTTCCCCCGGAGCGCTTGCTGAACTATCATGTCAGTGAGGGCTGGGAACCGCTGTGTAAGTTCTTGGGAAAAGATGTGCCCACCGTTTCTTTCCCAAATGTCAACAATAAAAACTCCTTCCTTGCTGGTCGTCGTCGGCGTTGGTTCCAGCTGATACGGATAATGATATGGGTAGTTTTCAGAAAAGTTCTCGTACCATTTTTGCTTCTTGTCTTACTCTATCTTGTATGCCAAACAAAAGTTCGGTCTTGGGTACACCAGCAGCTACATCTTCTTGATGGAAGGCTTTTTCCCAATGCATAGGGTCGTATGGATATCCGCTATGAGACTGTTTTCTAGTGAGCAACGGCATTGGTGGGATGGAAGAGGAGATGGACAATTTCTTCACTACCTCTCCATGCATACCTCTAAATGACTAGATAATAACAAAGTCAAACGGCGTGGTTTTCGAACTGGCCTGTTCTGTGTTCCCAGTGTCCTTTCTCCTAATGACCTATAATCGTAGTTCAACACCTGTTCGGCGGAGCATAGAGTCTGGCAATGAGGTAGTCTTAGAAACCATGAAAGGCTAAGGTGAAGGTTGGCATATGTCGACGGAGAGCTTGAAGAGGGAAGGCGGTCAATAGCTGGTGGGCATCTGCACTCTGTATCTGTTTCACTGTTGAATGACTTGGAACATAAGCCAACTTCTCTGTGGTCATAGAAGCTCTCAGTCACAAGTCTTAACGACAGTAACATATTTGGTAACAATTCTTAGCGATGCCCGGGAATGGAACAACAATTGACAAAAATACAGCGAAGGCACAAAATAAGTTTTTATTGGTGTTCAAGCAAGAAAGATATAAATGTAACATCTATGGTTTCCAATCAAAGAACAGAATACTCAGTTGTGCCATCAAACGTAGGCAGCCCTTGCACAAAGTCATCAAATAGACCCTCCTTGATAATCGGTGCTGTAACATATGGCTCCATATTGAGCTCATTCAAGAGCTCATCCAGTCGAGGCTCAACAGAATCGAGAGCCCTATTCTCCATTTCACGGAATGTTTGCCTCGTCAGGAGACCCTTCTCAGTATACCAATCTAGATTTTCCTTGAGAGCGCCTGCTTCGTAAAGAGCAAGGAGGTCAGAATCCACGCCAGCGTCAAGAGCAGTCTCATACACCATTCGATGGCCAATACCCAATACCAGTGGCTTGCACCGGGGGATGAAGAGCCGGTTGAACTCCTGGCTATGGTGCTCGGCCGGAATGGAGCTAACAATGTCCCAGGCTTCTTGTGCCAGACCAGCTTCGTATTTGGCCAATAGACAATCGGTCTTTGTTGCAGAGGGCATTTCGTACTTGCCTAGACAAAGCTCAACAGCAAGACCTGAATAGAAGGAGTAAGCTTCGCTTCAGGGATGTAAAAGAATCAAGATTGGTCGACTTACGAATGCTGACAACCAATGCATCTCCCTCTGAGATGGCACACGCACGAATCATGTTCTTTTTGATAGGCATTAGTACTTTTCTAGTAAGGGGAGCCCTAGTTAAGCAAAACTCACGTCTGCGTCACAGATCTGATTGTGCTGAAAAAGGCCTTGGGCGCCGCATCGTTCCACCATCTCGGGAATACTCCGCTGCGCCATCTGAATAAAGACGGCTTTGAGGATGACTGCGAATCCTTGGCGTACTTGAGGCTTGAAAGAAGTATCCTTGAACCACTCAATGCACTTGTTTGCAAAAGGCGTCATTACCGCAAGCTGAGCCAATGCGTGCAATATCGGCATCTGTTGTGTGCGGAAGCAAATAATAGGAATTCTTGTTTTGTTGGCGACACCGACAGTACGGCGTAAACTGTACTTGCCGGTGATGTAGGTTACGAGTTTGAGTGCAGGGATCATTATCATGCTCATTGCGAGTGTGCCTGGTGCAATCCGAGCGATTTGGTGGAAGAAGTTGTCTCGCATAGATGTTGGCCTTTCAAGGCTTCCGAGAACGGCGGTGCTAGATAAAGCCACGTTGTTGAAGGAAGTGATGGCGTACGGGGCTTGAATCCCACTCATATAAGGCAACAGACTAGACTCCTATGTTAGCACAAGAGAGTAGATCGTGGACCAAAAGAAAGTCATACCGTGAAGTTACACCCTTGCACATTTGCTTCCCATCACTGAGAGCCACCACGACAGGGCGAAGACCAAAGTCTTCGCCGTGCACTACAAGTTTTGCCATAACTACAGCAATGCGTGGAACACCAGCCACGGGCATAGATGGGGGAACGAATCTGGTACATGACATTAGTTAGTGACTTAGAAAGTATGACGCGAAACAGATGTTCCTACTTAGAAGCCTCGAGCCTGGGGGTATGGAGAACAAAGCTGCCATCGGACTGCAGTCTAACTTCTGTCTCCAAGTTCTTGGCATCAAGACCGTGTCCGATCTCTGTTAGCATAAAGCCCGCTCTGCTATATGTTAGTTATCTGTCGGGAGTGGTATTCAGATTTTCAAGGTAGAAACTCACGAGACCTTGAATGCCAATACGTCGTCCAGCAGTCCCTGAATCTTTGTCGACGCTTTGGCAAATGGGGCCAGAGTGCCCGCCACTAGGTTGTGTTGTATTGACAGCAGAGCATGAGCACCGATATCTCGAATAATTATATCATCTCTATGCATATCAAAGAATTTGGGCGATAGATTGACAATATCATCAGTTGTGAGTCCTAATCTGAGGTTAAATCATAAATTTCTCATCCTGCTATAGCTTTGCCATTGCTTACCATAGTGTACATTGAGGGCTTTCGCCCTGATGTACGAAAGTTCGAAGGCCTCTTTACGGCTAGTCGTTTGTCTGGGTTCAAATATAGGAAAGCTGGTCAAGGGAGCGGTCGAGGATGTTACTTCGGCCAACTCGGGCTTTTGGATTTCAAGTGTCCGAGGCTGATGTCTCTCTGCTGTGGCCAGGCCAAGTTCAACTTGTTCTCTAAGAGGGACAATTGGCGCTGGAGGTGGCATCTCATGAATGGTCGCCATCTTTCGTCCCGCAGAGACTAAAAAAGTGGTAAAAATAATTATCACTGAAACAAGCTAAATGGGCACCTATCTTGGTGGGCGTTTGTTTTGTTACTCTTCACTCTATAAGTCATGTCGAGATGAGTGTTTAACTACATGAATGAAGACCCAATTATTCGTGTCTAGTCTATGTGGGTATACTCAGTAAGAGCGCACTCTAACAAGGCAATAAACGATGCATGCTTGCATAACTAATGCCACGGCCATTATGATTTGGAGCTTAGGGGCGTAAGTGTAAGCCTGCATTATCAGGGATGTTCGGCACACCTGAGCCGTGGAAGAATATGCCGCAATATGCAAGGTGCGTGTAATCCAAAGTGGCAAGTGAGCTTACTCACGCTGTAGTCAGGCTCAACCCGTCTTACTCTCTAAACGCGGGAGTCGGGACATGTTGGCTCAACACCCCAGTCCAGCGATACCAGAAGATCCGTCCATACGTTCTTTTCCGTAAGCGCATCATGCCTGGCTCGATCATGTAAGCCAAAGTAGTAACAGAAGAGATTGGGGAGAGTCGTGACGCAAAGTGCATATTGACTATTATTTCTGCTATCCAGAAGCAATCTCGCGCAGTAAAGAATCATAAACGTCCTTTTAATACGAATAACTATTTTCCTACAATGCCGTTATCATGGTCAATCGTACCTATCTTGACCGGAGTCTCGGTCGTGCTATTCGCCCCCCGCTATTCGATCATGCAATCGTATTTGTGTACGATTGTGGCATCTTTCATATTATCTATGATCTTCAGAGTTCTATACCTATGTACTCTATATCCTGTTTACGTTTCTCCAATCCGGCATATTCCAACACCGAAGGTAAATGAATCCCTGGAAGAACATATAAATTAAATACCTAACTGTAATGATTTCAATAGGGGAGATCATGGCTAAAAGGCAATTCAAGGTCAATGGGCTTAGACTACGACCAAGCCCGCAGATGGGCGAAAGAAATCCCAAACAACGGACTTATCAGATATTATATGGCTGGAAATATTGAGAGGGTCATAGTTGTAGGCTCACAAGCACTCAGCGAGATAATGGGTCCCAAAGTTTACGACTTTCCCAAGTCAGAATCGCTGAGAGTCAAACTGGAACGATTTACCGGGAATGGAGTTCTTCTAGCAGAAGGTGACGAACACAAGGTAAGCCAGAAGATAGGATAGATTGGACTGGAAATAGCATTAACCATACGATGACCAGATGCAACGTCGAGGTCTCTTACCTGCCTTGACATTCCGCCATATCAAAGACCTCTACCCTATCTTTTGGTCCAAATCAGTCGAGATGGCGAATGCCATTGAGGATCAAAGACAAAATGGCTCAAAACAAATTACTATCCAAGTCAGTGACTGGGCAGGGCGAGCAACATTGGATATCATTGGCCTCGCCGTCATGGGGCGTGACTTCAACTCGGTCCAGAATCCCAACACAGAATTTCACCTGGTGTATAAAAAGCTGAACATGAAGCCCAGCATATGGACGAGACTACTCATCCTACTAAGCTTGCTCACCTTTGGCTTCAAGATGTTCTTCCGACTCCCTACGAAATGGAATCGCGATTCCAAACGAGCCGCCAATTACATCCGACGATATGCTCGAAAGATCGTTCAAGACACAAAGGCACGGCTGATCAAGGGCGATAATGACCACAAAGACATTGCGTCGCTTCTTATGTCAAGTGGGATGTTCTCGGAGAAAAACATGGTAGACCAAATCATCACCTTTCTCGTAGCTGGCCATGAGACCACCGCGGCATCGCTCCAGTGGGCAGTATATGCCCTGTGCATACATCCAGAAGCTCAAGCCCGACTGCGCGACGAGGTTTGCAGCCAACTAATCTCACAGTCAGATCAGACTATCAATGCCCAAGCAATCGACTCCCTCCCCTATCTGAACGCATTCTGCAACGAAGTTCTGCGTTTCTACCCACCTGTTCCTTCAACGGTGCGAGAGGCAGGAGTCGACACATCGCTTGCTGGGACCTTTATCCCCAAAGGCACAACGCTATTGATCTTAGCGGGCGTGACGAACCTGGAAGAGACTCACTGGGGTGCCGATGCTGCCGAGTTCCGACCTGAACGCTGGCTAGCCCGGGGACGAGCAAACAGTGGCGGGGCTGATAGCAACTACGCCAACCTCACCTTCTTAGCCGGGTCTAGAGGATGCATAGGTAAAGGCTTTGCCAGGTCCGAGCTTCTGTGCCTGGTGGCAGTTCTAGTGTCTAGGTTTAAGATGGAGCTGGAGAACCCTGACAAGAAGTTGGAGGTTGTGAGGGCTATCTCGGCGGCACCGGCTGATGGAGTGATCGCTAGGCTGACATCTTTAGAATGACGTTGTTGCGCGATTTAACCTTGGCTTACCAAGATAAGTGGAGGAAGGCGGCGACTCAGTAAAATTTGTAAGGATACTTAAGTATGCTACGAAATAAAATGGGGATGAAATCGACTTTTTGTTTGTTCAAGGTGACTGTGCTCTTACTTAAGATACAGAGCTCCCTGTTATGTTCTTGTATATAATAACTACGGAGAACTAAAGGCGCTGCTATACACCAAATGCCCTGAACTTAGCATGACCAGCCATTTAGAAACCTGGCGATTTATCTGAACGAGTAGCGTGAGCATTCAGATTCATCCCGCACAAACCATCTGCTATTCTAAGAATAGCATCCTGGTAATGCGCTGCTTGTTCCACTGGCCATTTCGTCGACTCACGGGCGAGAGTAGTGAGAGGAGGCCCGAGTCTCTTTCCACGACTCCGTTTCTGAGCCCAATGTACAACAGAGTCATAGCGGAACTTTGCTGTATAATAAGCTTGGACCACTAAACACGAGGCAAAGGCTGTCAGTATAGAAACGCTCTAGTATGAACTGTGGACCACGACTTACTAGCGTCCATGTCCTCAAAGCCTGCTTTTTTCATCAGGAGCAAAATCCGTGTAAAGATTACTTCAGGGGATGCTGCTGATAGCGGGTCGGCTGCTAATGATTCTGAGTCTGATACTGGGGCCAGACTCGTCAAGTGTTGTGATGATGACAAAGAGCTCGTCTGTGTAAACGGGAGATCTGTGTCATTCGTGTTGGCATGCGGGGCGTTCGTTCCTGATATCTCCTTACTTGGCCAACTCCCAGTGTTGGAAGCGGGACGATATAATTGACTAGAGCCTCGTGATGCTGCGTCGACCAGAGGCCCTGTAAGTTGCGTGATAGACTGACACCTGTGGTCCGTAGGATTTGTATCAGGTGGCACTGTTGATGGATTGGACATCAATAGTGATGGCAAGGAAGATACGCTGCCTCCACTTGCGCTATGAGAATTTGTTCCGCCGAATCCAATCATTCCTATGAATTGTCAAATACGCAAGACCTGCAAGTCAAAATAGCTCCGCATTCTCACCTTGAAAGTCAGTGTCGATGAAATCATCCAAGTCCGGGTTATCCACAGGAGGTTCTGCCCATCTTGCTGTCACTTGCATAAGGCTATCAATAAGTCTATCCGCTGATTCAAATGTCGATCCTGGCTGAGAATTGGCTGTGGATGCTGCCTTTCCATTGGCAGGCTGCGTCTCGTTATGCTGTTCGATGTCCTGTTCTGCCGAAAAGACATGGCAGCCATGCAAACGTTCGAACGTCGGATCAAGAGCCTGCGGTTAAGTGTAAGAAAATGTTTCATAAGTGAGCACATGTAGCTAGTGAACGAACCTCTTGATTGAGCCCAAGCATAGCTCGTGAGGCATTTCTTTCTCTCTCCAGTGTCTGGATTTTGGCCTTTAATCTTCTACCTATACAGCTGTTGATTAGCTACTCATTGCTGGATAATTGTTTTAGAAACTCCGGTGTCAGACACGTACGGTAATTCCTCTGTGACACTCGATTTTGAACACGTTTTCGCTCCCGAAGATCTGTAATATGAATCCACTCTTCTTCACCGCTCCCGCTCCTCAAATTAACAAAAGTTCCTAGACGTTGGCAAGGCGAGGAGATACGGTACTTACCTAGAGCTAGGTCTTTGTTCGAAATTCGGGAACGACATAATCTTTTTTTTTCTTTTAGCAATTATACGAACACTAGATGGAATAAAAAGAGCCACCAAGCCGGGGAGACGTAAGCCGACCCTTAAAATATCCAACTGGCTGTATACACCTACCAAGAATTCGCTTTTCTGATAAGCCTTAGAAGCAACCGTTGCATTGCAGCTGCAAGTACAAGGGGGCCAATAAGTTTGAGTGCAAACCCAAGTACACATACGTTATAAGACCAGTTTCCTACATAGCAATAACCTAACCGGGATAGCTTTTTGCCCAATTCAGCTTAGCACTCATTCTGCCAAGCAATAGCAAAGTATTAATTACAACGTGTAGTTACTTTAGCCTGGATTAAAACTGTAACAACTAGCTAATTCGCACCAAAGTGAGCAAATAAATAAGGTTTAAAAGACCTTAAAAAGGTTAAGTTAAATTAGTTAAGTTAAGGCTAATTTATATTAGCCTTGCATTAAATAAGGGAAACTAAGCTAAGATATGCATAGTTAGGTAAATCTAATCTAGGGATTTCCTAATATACTCCCTAGATAATTCTTAATTAATTATAATTAAGTATTAAATAAGTAAATACTTGGGAATTAATATCTTAATCCTTTTCTAGCTTAGAACCTAATTCTATATAAGTAATAAATAAAAAGTTATAGCTAAAGTATAAAAAAAACTATAATATATATAAAAGTAAAAGGAATTACTATAAGTTACTTTATAAGGCAGATCCTAAACTTAGGGCACTTAGGCTATAGCTACTATTATTATACCTTTTTATAAGATTTATTTTTCTTTTCCTTTTTTCTTCTCTTATATATTATAATATAACTATAATAATTAGTCTTACTTACTAGCCTTACGCCTTATCCTTCTTTTTTAATTAAAGCTATTACTAGCTTTAATTATTTATTCTATATACTAACGCTTTAATCTAGTCTTTTTTTTCCTATTATACTATAAGCCTTAGTTATATCCCTAAGGACAGTTATCTTTAAACTCCTTATATTTTTATAGCTTATAAGGTAAGTCTTATTATTTTATATATCTTCTTTTACCTTTATTTAATTAAATATACTTCTAATATTTTACTTCTTACTTTAAAACACTAAAGCTGCCTATTAAGTATATATTACTATAGCTTACATAGTGTTAAGACCTAACTTTATATAAAGGTCTTATT